GCCGTCGGAGCCCCGCCTTAAGAACCAACTTTCTCTGACATAAGAGCACTGCCTGAAATGGCGAAGAAACTCCGTCCAACTTGGGGTTCAAATTTAGCCCCAGAGATTAGCCGACCGTGCTCAAAGTTAAAAGCCCACGTTAAACACATGCGCTAATGTCCACTTCAAACGTTGGACCGTAGAATACGTGGTGCTGATAGTCACCACGTATTCTATGTGCTGATAGTCACCGCGTTGCTATTAGAATATGACAAAATGGAATATGATGCTTTTCACAACTACTATAAGACCTCTGTGTCTCGGCCGTCGAACTTATTCTGTTGCTTCTCGACGTACAGTCCTGCCGGGACAAAATTACTTTGATGACTTCACAAATGTCTGACGTACTTGCAGAATCGTCTTGGGTCCACGGTATGACCTTTTACAGAATCAAATGAATCTGGTCCTGCCATGTTGGAATATGGTCTCTTGGAATATCTTTTCTTATTCCCGCCTAGCCCCTAGCTCATTCTTGGCACCACTTAACGTCTCATACCTCATCATCTTCTTTACTGCGAGCAAACTGGTTCACTACGTGGATATTAGGACCCATCTACCAAGCACCTATTTTGGTCTCACGATTGTTGATCATCATGAATTTGATGGACATCAAAGCTAATGAGTTCGATCTCCACTTTCTGGTGTTTTCTTTGTAATAAAAATATGGTTATCATGGATCATATCTTCGTTCAAAGTTCATTTTCACACTTTTTACTTTTTTTTCTTCACGTATTATATTTCCTTCTTTCAGCTGTTATTTCTTTGGATTTTGTTTATAGTCTTTCTAAATTTCAATCGAATCATACTAGACTCTAAGCATCATCTAAGCGAAGGTATGTTATGGTAATCAAATATAATTTTATTAATAGAGTGCCAAAGATCATAAAAAATTTCAAACTTCGAAATCCAACTAGCTGATTGGATCTCTATGAAAGAAATCACACTTGCTTATTGTCATGAATATGTCATTAGGCGATGTACATTATAATTTTCATCCATGTGTTATGAAAAATACAGATTGCATCACACTAAACATCATGAAGAAAAAACAACATGATGACCAGAATGGAAAACTTTGATTCTTTTTTATTTAGAGATATTTTGTTCATACTATTTCTTTCCTACTATTATAGCAAAGAAAAAATTTAATGAACCCTACTGTGTTTATGACTTCATACTTGATTTTGAAAGTGATATTTTGAACCCCACAAAGAAAAAATTGAACAACAAAATTATAGGCATGTATTTTGAGACATGTAGGATTTTCTTAAATTTTTTGAATTTCATAAATTTATATTACATCGAAAATATATATTCATGTGAGAACTTACATATGTTACTCTAAGTAAAAAGTTTGAAGTAACATTTCAATACATGGATATCAATCATATATGAAAACTTTCAAGATCTCCAATTTTCATCCTAACAATTTTAATATAAATCCTTTGAATATCATTTGAAAGTATTTGAATTGGAGTGTTAAATTTGAATGCTTACGACATTTCTTTGTTAAGAGGTCAGTCAGATCTTTTGATAATTCAGGTTATTTTGGTCCTAGTCAGTAAAGAAACTTAAATTTTCATTATATAAGAAAGCTCATGCTTACATCTTTTAGTATTACTCAGCAAAATCTGAGGTATTCATATGAACATACTAGTCGGTAGATAATTAACCAAGTATGTTTATTGTCCGCTGTGTTTGTGTGCATTCTAGTGTTGATGTGTGGAACTGCATTAGTTGAACGCAATTGTTCTTGTGATGATAAACTTGATACTTATATTTCCATATCAATAAATCCCAAAAATCTTAACTTCAAGGATCAATCAATTTTATCATCAATGTTAGATTATATAATATCTAGTCTACTTAATTAAAAAAAGGATTTATCAACATTATGTATATATATAAATATGATAATATATCTTACAAAATATGTTTAAATAAATAAACTTAAAAATGGCACATATTTATGCTCATATGTAGAGCAATCATTTGTTTGATTGAGATCATCACAACTGTAGTATTTTATTTGATATCAAGATAAATATTAGAACCTAACCAAATAAGATTTTCAATGAAACCAATTTATTTACTTATTGATATATTAACAAATTCAATGATGTTGTACAACCAAAAAAATGAAAAAAAATAAAAATTGAGACTATTCATGAATATCAACAAATTTAGGTAATATCTAAAATGAAAATTTTTTCTCTTATTTGACCATGCATTATTTTATTTTATTTTAATTTTTTTTTAAATCAATATGAAAATATGTTTATTTTGAGTTCATGCATAGTTTAGATTTTTCAATCATTGATAATTTTCATGCACTTTCACAAAGTAGATTTTTCTATTGGCATGTACTCAAATCATATCAAATAAAATATGCGTTATGATTTTACTTTGTCAACTACTTATGCACTTTACTTGATGATTATTCAATTTTTAATCTACAATGGTCAACAAATCTAAGGTTGATTCACAAATTTTCATTTGAAATTATCAAAAAAATATTATTCAAGTATTGTAATTAATATTAGGTTTATCATTATGTGATTAAATGGCATCAAATCATTCCAAGCTCTACTTAATAATCATGCTTAAATTGAAAAAAATATTTGAAATTTAATGAAACCTTGATATTTTAATTTTTTAATTTATTTTGGAATAAAAATATATTAATTTTGAAGGATATAATAATTATGCAAGATTGAGTTGAACAAACAACTCTAGTTTTTGCTGTTGTTTGATATTATAATTAATTGCTAAATATTTATATAAAAAATATGAAATGTGTTTCAATATGAAGTGTGACAAAATCATCTTGAATTTTGTTCACATTCAAAGTACTAAAAGTAGCTGAAGCGGATGAATATTATTTATTCTTGTAGTACTAGTCAATCTAGATACAAAATCTTGTTTAGCATAAAAATACTGTTTAAATTTCATGATTTGATACACTTGTTATAAATTTCATATCATGAATTTTGGAAAAGTTAGAATTTTTCAAATTTTTTTCAGCACAATGTATGTATAAATCAAATCAATCAAAAACTATTATCTTAAAAATTCATAAGATATGATGACATGCTATTATTGATTTGATAAATGATATATTTAAATTTGAAATAATCAATTTTTCTTAAAAAAATTAAATTAAATTTAATGCAACCCAATGAAATTTGAAATATAGTTTTTTGGAAGTAAAATAAATTTGTATGTTGAATCAAAATATCCTATGAAATATATAAAAAACAGCTAGCATTTTTGAAGATTTTTTGATTCATGTAAATAAAGTAAAATAAAATTTTCTATTCAAAATATTAAACAATTGAAAATGTTCATATGTTGAAATAGATCATGTTGGAGCTTAGGTCTTATCTCTATGCTAGTTTGTAATATCAAATTTCATCTATCTTTGCCTCACGTTAGGTTTAACATAACAGTTTTTCCATCAAAAAATCTATAGTCTAAATTAAACATTTTGCATCTTGATCATCTGTTAAATTGGAAAAAATGCAATATGACATATTTATATTCAAAAATTGTGTATATTCCATTCAACAAGTAACTCATAAAAAAATCATTTGCCTAATCTAATGTTTGATCTTCATATTAATAATTTTGAAAGTGATTCATTTCATTCATTTATGAACTAGATTCAAATTGAAGAACTATACTTTAAAATTAGTAAAAACCGTGTTAACGGAGTAAACTTGTGTAGAAAATTTTCATTATATATATAGTTGACCTTTTACTTAAAAAATTGTAGGAAAAAATTAAACATAAAATGTTTGTAATCAAGAAAAAATATGTGTTTTGATTTAATTTGAATTCAAATTAGAAAATGAATGACAGATGAGAATATTTGTGATTTTTAATGATATTGAATGAATTTTTATTCTCTCCGTTCAATTTGAATGTGTTTTAAATTTATAGTAATATTAGTCAATTTGACGTTTTTGCTAAACTTCAAAAATGTAAAAGATTTGTTTGAGATTTTTAATCATTCTTTCATGGTATAAAACCAAGAAAAGTACTTCAAATTAATCAATTGTTTAGGATATGATATAATTTGAGAATTGTGATAGTAGAACAATGGTCGATTTCATAATTTAGTTATCAAACTACAGTGTCAATCAAAACATTAAGCTTTTGAAGCTTTTATAATCTATGTATATATATATATATATATATATATATATTATAAATGTAGATGCATGTTTGCAAGATTAGGTACAAAAGCTAAATTATTGCCTTTGTTATTAGTATGAGTATCTATAGTAGAATGCATGTGATTTTTGTATATGAAAAGCTCAAAGAGTATTTTATTACACTTAGAGATATACATCTGATGCAAAATTTCTCTGGAGACTATAGTAAACTACATTAGCTAAATCCAATACTTCACTACATCAATCTCCCAATTAAATACAAAAATTGACACTAGGAGCATTGCGCCTACTTAGTAGACCCAGAACCCTAAACTCAATTAAATTTGATACTGGTATATATTGTGGGTAAGCTAATAGTCATCCAGCTTCTCATCTCTTCATATGAGGCATAGTACAACCCTACCAACTATAATTAGTAAACTTATGAAAGATTCATATATAACTTTTAGAATTTTTTTTCAATTTTAAATTGGAATAAAAATTATACAGAATTTACCTAAGAAAATCTTCAGATTTATCAGAATGATATTTAATTAGACAATTTAATTGTGAGGAAAATAAAATAAAATAATGATCTTTAGATGTGATAGGTCAGTGAAGCAACTGAAAAAATTGTGTGAGACAAACGGTGGCAAATCATTTAGATCTCACTATCATTTAGAATATTTTTCAATCTTGTTAGTTGTTTAATTGAGCTTGAAAAAATATTTTAAAATGATTAGGACCAATTTACTATTTTGAATTGCCAAAACAAAAAGTATTGCATTAAATTTATCAGTTTTTGGCTAAATCAATAACGGTGTCAAAAGGTGCTGCTTACTTTAGATTTAGTATTATTTAGCTTTAGCTTCTGACTGTTTATTGTTCAATATAATCTTAAAACCTATACAATATGATCCATATTGGCCAGTTGTTTTGTTCTGTTATTGAAATACATATCCTGATGTTTGATCAGGAAAGATCAACCAAATCGCGGTTTCCAAACCGACCTTAGCTCAGTTGGTAGAGCGGGAGACTGTAGTTTGAGGATAGAAATCTCTAGGTCGCTGATTCGAATCCGGCAGGTCGGAGACATTCCGGGGGAATGCACAGACACTAAATGCTTCATGAACAAGTATATTCAAAGTTTGCATTTCGAACTAAATAAATTTTGGAGTAAAATTATGCCTACTGAAAAGCGGTGAATACTTGACCGGGAGGTTACCGTATACCTACCTACTTTCCTAGAACTGTACATGGACTGGCCATACCATGGATTACAACGGGTGGCACAAATTACTGTGTTGAAATCTATCGATGTTTTAGTTCGCTCAACGCCGCTGATGCACGGCCAGCACAGAGCCGCGGAGTAGTCACTTCAGTTTGCCTGACGATCCCATTCGATCCTCGAGTTCTTTCCTTCGCTCGTTTCCAGAGAGCTAATCTCCAGAGCACGGGTTCAGGCCACGAGGCCTTGAGATGGATAACTGATTGAGCCTCGCTTCATCTACCTCTGACAAGGGCTTCAGATGGCTATGGAGAAACATGTTAATCTATTGAATGTTGGTGAGGAGTTATGGTACTGTATTGCACCATCCTGAAAATATACACGAGACTACCACATATCTAGCACTCGTTGCAGCTGGAGCTCGAGCTGCAGCACGAATTTTTGTCCAGCGAAGGACGAAAGGTGAAGCGGTCGCGCAGAAAGTCGCAAATCTGTCGAAGAGAGGATCGGATCAGAACTCGAGCGAAATCCACACTCTCAGTCCACCAGGACCACGAGAAGTCACTGGAACCGTCCAGATATTGTTTGCATCGGCCAGCTCCTCCCAAGCAGCAGTCACCGTGGGCTACACTGGCGTATTTCTTGCCGTTCCTGCAAATGACGTTTGTCCACGCTTGGGACTTGCACATGCATACACACTGGTTCTTCCCAGTGCACATCGCCGAGCAGGAGCAAGCTTTCAGGTCGAAACCTCTCGTCGAATTTCCTCCGAGACTCTTGGCTTTGTGACAGTCGCTCGGTATCAATGCCGACCTGCGCAGTCTCATGTCGCTGGAAAGTAGTGCTCCTTGGTAACACATCTTGCCTTTAGGAACATCTTCCACCTTCTGATTCCGCCCACATCGCACATACTGGCTGCCATTGTCGTTGGGCTCGCACCGGATGCTTAAACCAGGCGCGCAGATGGAGGAGCCAGCACCTACAGGGTCATAGAGGAGGCAACACAGTCAGCGTCGGAAATCTTTGAGAAGGTGTCGCAAAGTGAGAGATCCACCGAGCATTGACATGCAGCCAGCCTGGGAAATGCATGCGAGCGTGATTTGCGAATATGTGGCCGCTTTCATCTGATCCAAAATCAAAATCACTGAAGTGTATGCGAGCTGCCGCGACACTCACCAGAAATGAAAACATGGCCAATAAGGAGACTGAAGGCACTAGCAACGCAGAAGCACACAGCAGCTCCTAGGACTAGATTCGAGTTGTTCCGTTTCAGGACCATTTTTGCACGCGGCTGCTGCGATTTCATAGGAAATCGACCCTGATCGCTTTGCGGTCTAGCTAGTCCTTAAATCTCCGAGAGGGATATCTCGATCGGAGTTCAGTCAGGTGATCCGTGTGTCTAGCGCACAATTCAATGCACCCAACCTCAGAGTGGTTCGATTTTTTAATGCGTGCCTGTCAGCTACATTTGATGATTCGAACGAAAATCATGCGCTTCGAATGTAATCAATGGAGGTGTGACCAAGTAGCCAATGTGTGACTGATCCAAGACAGGAATCCCCCGGATAAGAAGGAGATTTTATACTCCCATCGCTCCTGAAGATCCGCTGTACAAGCTGGTGGTTTTGGTATCCGGACAAGATGTCAGTTGAACATATGTGATTTGATGTCGGTTCCTTGCAAGTGAGAATCGGTGATCAAATACGATCGAATTTCTCTCGTGCCTGGACGATTTGGTGGAACGATTGCAGCACTCGATAATCCACCAGCAGCCTTTACATCAAAAGACGAGAATCTCACATTAAGAGAAACTACAAGTTCTGTTCCGTCTTCGATTGATGGACAATTTGAAAATTCTACACTCAGCCCACTCATTAAGCTAATCGTCCAAATCGTGGAATCTCAGGTACACACCGAACTCGGGCCTCATCCTCGCACCGTTCAGTGTCCATGGGCGTTGACCGGGCGTTCAGCGCGTGGACGAACGAACGCCTTGTGCGGTATCAGCAAAGCGTAGTCCAACTGTTTTGTCTGCGAGGTTTACTGGGAAATGAAAAAGCGTATTTTCAGAAGCTTTCAAAAAAGAGACCGCGAGTGGAAGAAGCCAAACCTTTCTGGGCTTCTTTCGGAATTTCTCCCTCTTTTCAGAATAGTACTTCTGGTAAACAATGATTCCCTTACCACGAGGACCTGCAGAGCAACCGCACATTGGAATGATACCAGGTCCTATCGGTGAGTCAAACTAGACTTAGACCACCGGTGAAATTATTTACTGTACCAAGACGACAGCGCTGGCTTTTTGTATCAGTGCCCTTGCTTGACTCGTCAGACGCAAGTACTTTCCCACGTGGCAACAAAATTCATGACGTTTCCTACCACAGAAGAAGCCGTAGTCACTCATCAGCATCTTTCGGTTTGTTACGATGTATGGGCTCTGCTCTGCTGACGATTGTCAGTCGCCATGGCTAGAGAACGCACTCTGCGAGATCTTGCTGAAATGACTCACTGTAGAAATGTGCTAAATTATCGAGTTCTATTAAGTTGACCTAGTGGTCGTCACCAGTATCCCAGACTTCCACTCTTTTGGTATACAGAGCGCTAATGCCTCTGATGACTCTCGGATAAACGTAAATTGGATAAGATCAATCCAGATCTCGTGCTGAACTTGCATATCCTTAAAGCCGATAGAGGCATTTGTCCACCGCTATGATCTCTGACCGGCTTCAACTTTGGGTGCGGTGTGACAGCAAGCCCCTAGGATGGATAATCATGCCAATTCTAGAGTAACTGAGAATCAAAACTTTCACAGCAGTAAGCGACAAGTAACCGTAAATGAATGTTTCCCAATACTGCAATGTCGAAGGGGTGAAACTTTTAGTTCTATTCTATAAGATGAGAGCGTTAAGACGCAAGAGCCGAAGCTGCTAGGAGATGAAGAGGCTCGAACTGTATAAAAAGCCATATATCGACTGACGACTACGTCGAGTAGCCAGGCTTTGGAAAAGGTTGCGATGCTCATACGTGATTGGGTTTGTTCCGAGAACAGAAGTTGGTAGATCATTCTCCTCTGTGACTCGTGAGCTAAAACTGTTCTAGGTTATGTAAAGAGTGATAAGCGTGTCTTTTCTCGTTTTCCACACTGCAAGAAAACGAAACTAGCGTTTCGTACTTTAGTTCGATAGTTAAATCTTAGGATTCGTCCATTGGCTTCAGCTAGCTAATTCGCACGAATTTAGGGTCCTTGGGATCCGCGAAGTGTATACCTTTTCTTCTGACAGTTTTAAGCCGTCTCCCCTTCTCTCGAAGCAGGGCTGCTGGAAATCAGCACCAACACATGTTTTCAACAGCATCAGACGTTTTCCTCCTCGGCCTGTGGAATGACACTTCGTAGGAAACAAATAGGGCGGCTGAACTTTCAACATAGACTTCTGGAATCCCGTGGCTCATGTTGGCCGCTGACTGATCTTGAATCTTCATTTCAGCCATTTTCACGTTATTCCAAAAGACACTGAAATCAAAATTTAAATTAAGTGACTGAATGATTCTCAAAATGTGATTATCAGGACCAAAATTCAAGTCCTAAGATTCCAGAACCGCCCCATAAAATAAGAACTATATGTCTGGACTCCCTGATATGAAAGTCAATTTACTAGTTTCTGCTTATCTTATTAGAAAAATATACATCGGTGTATCATCCAACAGAATGAGCAGATGACAAGAACTCGTGAAATTGAGACAATAGCAACCCCGATACTAGATCCACAGCACCTGCCTAATGTCCTGAAACTTCGATGCTTCGTTCCTTCACAACACTCTCGAAAAGATGTGAACTAAGAAGGCCGCAGCATCGCTGACTCACAGTAAGCTGGCTTACAGTTTTGTTCTAGTTGTTTCATCTACCATTCTCGGCCAGTTCAAAACACTTCTCAGGTGTAGAAATTGGTTACGCACGTAAGGCCGCCATACTCCTTGAATCATTGTTATTTTTTGGAGTTCCTTCTATAGCCATGAACTGTGATGCCACATAGAGGAGCCTGACTTGAACATTTCTTTTCGGAAAAGGGGACATTTCACTACCGGAGATGAGTTTAGAGATGTCCTTCGGATTTTGAAGATGTCCTTTGACCCACTCTTCTCACACTGACACAGAGTTTGAGTCCCAGTCCACGTACGACTTCCATGGCCAGTCATTGTCGGAAAATGATCAAGTTTGCAGTGATGTCCGAACCAGACCACGTAGAACCAAGACGCATCCATGACAGTAAAACTGATACTGAGAATAGACCACCGACTGCATGAATCTACTCCTTTGCTTTCACTCCTGAAGAGGGGACTTAGAAGATTTTCTTGATTAACTCGTGACCTTCTGTGTTGAGCGATCCAGAGTTGTGCACTCTTGTGTTGGTTGAGATCAGTGTGCCCTCTTCTAACTTTGTTCACTGGGACCTTCTGTCTGACGAATATGCACGGGGTCATCGAGCTCACAGCGTATGCTCAATGAAGATGCACACAGCCCCAAGGAAGGAATGGCATCAACAAACTCATGCAAACATAGAAACCTGCAGTCCCGTAAGCGTTCTGATCCTCGTAGGATCCTATGAGGTACATTTCTTAGCTTCGACGGAATGCAATTGAACTACGAGAATTTGCTTCTTTATGCAACCGAGCTTAGCCAGAGTGAAGATCGCTGAAAGTGAGTAGAGCTGATATTTAAGACCTGAATTGACCTGGCCTGTATATACGTGGAGAATAAGCACCAAAACTATGACAGTGGGGCCAAGGAAAAGAATTAATCGAACCGAAGGATAGACAAGAGGTTTTCAGATTTAGAGCCATTTTATGCTGATTCCAGACCACTGATAATATGCTAAAATGGCTCGAAGACCAGGCCTGCTTCTTCCAGCCACTATGACAGATTGCATTCAATTTGGGCTGCGGATCTTGCCGGTAGAAAAATAATGCATCTAGCTCTTATAAAGCTGTCAGTAAGGTAACTGTGATGACTAGCGTCTCCTGTAAGTAGAGATTATACGAACGGATGCAGCTGCTGGTGAGACCAAGTCATTAATCTCTCACATGCACCAGAAAGGAATCACGATGTTAATCATGAACAATTGAATCTGGTAGCCATGGCCGAGTGGAAGTCTTTAGCAACTTGTCAAATATTTCATACGGCCTATCCGAGACCGTCAGCCTCTATTCGACCTTTCAATCGAGCCCATCACAGGTACGTCGCTTTCTATAAAAGAGAAAATATGTTTGTGTCAAAAACGTCTGGACAGGGTTCTCGAATGTTCCCAATCATCAAAGCAAGAGGCTCTCTAGAGGGAGAATGTTTTTCTTAGTTTCCAAACCAAGAGCGTCCACACTGAAGTCTGCTTTAATTGCAGTTTTAAAATCTCATGTCCCTGAGATGAAAGATGCTGGACGGAATAAACTTATTCTCTCTTCGGATGCTTAGAGCCTTGATTGGACCTAGATTCCGATGTCTTTGCTCTGTCCCTCTCTGTCTATTTGAAAAGGGCTTCATCGAATCCCGTAACTCATGCATCTTCGCGAATATGGTCTTCACTCTTTACTTGAGTTAACCAGTCGATTCTCTAACGTTCTGGAGGTACATAGATCTTTGGAGGTATCGTTCATAATGGTCATCAAGTTCATCGTACCTCTTCCGCACGTGGACTAGTTCACAACATATACACACTTTAAAATCCCAACAGTACAGGATGCCTGCATCCGACGAAAGTCGAAGTTCTATGCAAATTGTCTCACGGAAAATATATTTGAGACGATATTTCGCCCAAATCTTTCCAAATACAGAGTATCGACGATATGCAAGTAGGGTTCTGGATTCAAAGCTCGTCAGAATGTGCTAAAGCTGAAGCTTGGTAGCTTCCAGTATAGGTCATGCAGAGTTCGTATATTTGGCTGTGGTATTGGATCGCATAATGTAAAACATACTGGTATGTGTAGACTTGTGATTCAAGGGAAACACCAAAAAAATTGGAATTTCATAGGATAGGACCGACATTTGGGGATTCTTCGGCCTCGAGTCGATTTCCTCTCAAAGGCAAATTATTACTTTAGGTTGTTGGATGTAACCAAGTTCCCAACTCATTATTAGAAAATATGAACAACATTTTATATATCTTATGGTTGGGGAAAAAAAATTGTTCTAACTTCTATAAAATAACGGCTTGAGACCGTGAAGGAAAAAATTCTGGCCCCACACGTGGAAGAAGTCGACTAGTTAGCCAGCTGACGAGCGCAGTACATCTCTTGTCATTTAGTGTGTGGGAAGAACAGTAATACAACAATCGTAGAAACGTAGGCAGTAAATTTACTTCAGCCATCAAAACTAGCTCTTGAAGTGTATGATCCAATGGTGCAATGATATAACGGATGAAATCACTTAAGTAATTAGTGGATGATGAAGAAGATAACGTACTACTTTATCAACAAGTATCGGATACAAGTAGAGCTTTGTTTGGTGAAACCAAAGGTAAGAGTGTTCAATTTTTTCTTTTACTCGGTGAGTGTATAATGGTCAAATTGATAGATGTTTTTTCATGATTGAAAATCA